GTCTTCACCGTTTAGAACAGTTCGGTGATGCCGAGTTTGTTCACATTGCTATAGAACTCTTGGGGCCAGCAGGTGGCGTAGTGGTCACATGCTGGACTCACACACAGCTGACCACAATTCAATTCCCAGATCAGGTGACTTGAAAACCATGCCGGGCGCATGCGTGCGTGTGCGTGCTCAAATCTCAGGAAGAGAATGGTGAAGAAGGGATTGCAGCATGGCCATTGCCTGGGGGAGGCGGGGTATTTCTCACTTTCCCTCTCACTGTCTCTGTCTCTCTGGTGAGCACATGCGCTCTATGGCAAAAATCAAGCCAAAACAAACAAAATCGCTAAAGCCCTGTACTCATTGGCCAACTCATTACTTCCCTGCCCCTGCCCCAGCCCCTGGCAGCCACCTTCCCACTCTCTACTTCTAGAAATCTGATTGCTCAAGGGACTTCATGGAAGTGGACTCATGCCGTATTTGTCCTTTCGTGACTGGCTTATTTCACCGAGCGTAATGCCCCCGAGCTTCGTCCATGCATATAGCACGTGTCAGAGCTTCTTTCCTGGTCAGGCTGAGTAATGTCCCACTCACTGTATGTGTGGACCACGCCTTGCTTACCCATCATCCATCAGTGGGCATTTGGGGTGCTTCCACCTCTTGGCTATTGTGAATAATGCCATGAACACGGGGTACAAAAATCTCTTTGAGTCCTTGCTTCCAATGCCTTCGGATGTATACCCGGAAGGAGGGCTGTTGGAGCGTATACTGGTTCTGTTTTTAATTTTTTGAGGAACTGCCACACTGTTTTCCCGAGTGGCTATAGTTTACATTCCCATCCATCTTATTCTGGTTTCTTCACAGCCTCACCAACAGTTGTTATTCTGTTTACTTTGTCATTTTTAAAATATTAACCACTCTGGGGGTGGCATGGTAGTTCAAGTGTTGTACTCCCACATGGCCAAGCACAGTTGGAGTCCCAGACCTGGCGCTTGCCTTTTCCCTTTCCCTCTCTGGTCAAATTAAAAAGTGAAGATAGGGCCAGCAGGTGGTATAGTGGTTAAGGCACTGGACTCCCACATGGCCAACCTCAGTTTGAGTTCTGGACCCAGTGGCTTGAAACACACCCAGTCCATGTGTGTGTGTGCCCAAAATCCCAGGAGAAGAATGGAGAAGGGAACTGTGATGTGGCCATACCCTTGGGGGGTGACTTCTCACTCTCTGTCTCTCTGTCTCTCCAGTGAGCTCATGAGCCTTATAGCAAAAATATCTCTCAAAAAAAATGATAACGAATAGAACTAACTAAATAATTTTTTTAAAAAAACATTAACCATTCTAATGGTTATGAGGTGATGTGGTTTTGGCTTGTATTCCTGTGATCGTAATCTTGAGCATCTTTTCATATGCTTCCTGACCATTTATTTGTATATTATATGTGGTCTATTCAAATCCTTTGCCAGTTTTTAAATCAGATTGTGTTGTGCTGTTGCTGAACTGTAGGAGTTCTTTATATATTCTGGATATCAGTCCCTTACCAAATGTACGATTTGCAAAGATGTTCGCCCATCCTGTAGGTTGCCTTTTATTTTGTTGTGTGCTTTGATGCACAGAACTACGTATGTTTGATGTAGTTACACCTGTTCATTTTTGTTTTGTTACCCGTGCTTTTGGTATCATATCAAGACAGTGTCGCCGTTCCAATTCCCCAGCGGTTTTGTAGTTATAAATATTATAATTAGGCCTTTATTCCATTTCGAGATAATTTTCAGATATGGGTAAGGTAAGATTTCCATTTCATTATTTCGCATGTGTATGTCCAGTTTTCCCAACATCATTTGTGAAGATACTGTCTTTTCCCCATGAGTGGCCTCAGCACCTTGTCAAGGATCACTTGACCATATACAGGAGAGATTGCTTCTGGGCTCTCTGTACTATTCCACTGGTCTGTTTCAATACCACACCAGCCTTAAGTACAGTTTTGATTACTGTAGCTTAGTAATATGTTTTGAAGTCAGTAAATGTTGGCTGTTTGAGGTCCCTTGAGAGTCCTTGCACAGTTTAGGATGGATTTTCCTATTTCAGGGGGTGGGGGGAGGTGGGAAGCCATAGGGATTTTGATAGGGATTGCATTGACTATAGACTGCTTTGGGTAGTATAGATATCTAAACATTAAGTCTTCTGTTCATGAACATAGTATGCATTTCCATTTATTTGTCTTAATTTCCTTCAGCAGTGTTTTATAGTTTTTAGTGTGTAAATCTTTCACTACTTTGGTTATGTTTATTCCTATGTATTTTATTCTTTTGATGCTATTGTACATGGAATTGTTTCTTAATTCCTTTTCTGGATTATTTGTTGTTAGCGCATCTACAACTGATTATCATGTGTTGAGTCTATATCCTGTAACTCTGCTGAATTTGTTTATTGGCCCTAACGGTTTGTCTTGCAGAATCTTTAGAGTAAGTAAAAGATCTAATCAAAACTGGCTTAAGGCTGGGGCTGGCAGGTGGCATGGTGGTTAAGGGAGCTGGATTCCCATATGGCCGACCACAGTTCGAGTCCCAGACCTGGTGGCTTACTTTCTAGCTTTCCCTTTCTCTCTGTTTCTTTCTGGTTAAATTAATAATAACAACAACAAATAGAAGTAAAGAACTAAATAATTCTTTTTAAAAAAATAAAAAAAAAAAGAAAGAAAAGAAAAGAAACTGGCTTAAGTCCTTTCCTACTGCTCTTCCGCAATTCACACTCCATCTACTGCCAGGAGCTCCATCGTGCAAAGTGCTGTGTCTTGATTTGGGCCTTTGAAAGCCCATTGGAGCCAACGGTTGCCGGCGTATGACCCTGCTCCAAGTTTCTGATGCTTGTAGGCACTTTCCTCGGCCCATTCATCAGACACACTGAGGCTGGGTTGAGGCTGACCCCTGTGGGAGGCTCCTTGGGAGGTGCTGCTCCCACCCCAGTCCAGCTGACCTGGCATCCATGTTCTAGACATGCTCATTCCTG